TGCCCATGAGCGTGACCCTGGCCAGGGTGTCCCTGGTGTCCCCCTCCTGCAGGGCACCCCGAGGGCAGGGCCAGCCCTCGAGGCCCAGGGCACTGCAGGAGCTCAGGGTGGGTGGCAGAGCAGATGGCAGGTTCTCTGCCACACCAGCCCCATCTGACAGAGATCACACAGCAGCTGGCAGCCCCCTACCTGGAATTTCTCTCTCTGTTCCAGACTGTGACCAGGAGACGTTTCTGCTCATCCTCCTCCTGCACTGGGCTGTAACAAGCAGAGGGGACAGTCCATGAGCACAGACCTTCCCCAGGAGCACCCAGCAAGGTCCTCCAGTCTCTGCACAGAGCACTGCAGCACCACCCCAAACAGCAACCTCCTCCAACAGCCACTGCTGCACTAATTCACTCATCCCTGACAGGGCAAAGGGATGTGACCCCTCCTGGGCAGGCACTGGGGACACCCCTCAAGTGGTTTAAGGGGAAAAATAGTCTTGCAGAAAGACACACATCCAACATCAACAGGTAAATGGAAGGGACAAGCCACAGTTCATGCTCTGAAACAACCACCCTGTGCCAAATTAAACACTGCATGTAGGTCAGAGGTCTGGCCAGCTCCACCAAAACACTAAGTCATGCAGCTCCTTTCCCATGCAGAGACATGCTGGAGTTTAAGGAAATCCTTTTACCTTCCTCATTCATAGTGGTGCCCCCACTACTGCAGGTGCAAGGTCTGGGAAATGGAGCCCAACTCCTGCCCAGTAAGAAAGTCCGACCCTGCTGTGTGCTGGCAGCTCTGCGAGCCTCCACACAGCTCTGCCCAAAAGTTCAAGGCATTTCAGCTACAAAACCCAGCAGAATAATGTCTGTCACTCCTCATCTCAGCAGCAGACCTGCTCATGCATGAGGAGTGTTTATTGCAGAGCACAATGCAAAAGCAAACACGGGGTCTTGGCACGGAGAGGGAGCCCCGGGACAGCGGCCACGTGGGTGCCCACGGCTCAGAGTGAACCTGGCACGGAGGGGCGGGCAGAGCTCCCCCTGCCCTGTCATACTCACAAAACAAAGTGCTCATGGAAGACGGGATTTTTGCTGTCTGGCACAGTCTTGGTCTTTTGCCTGCATTTCCAGTCAGCATCTGGCACGATGGACATCTTCAGGAGGAAAACAAGCACTGTGTTAACACTCCCAAAGCAAGCACTGGCATCAGCTGCCAGCTCTGCTGCTGCCGTGGTAGGAGACTGGCACAGCCACTGCCATGGATGGCTGAGCCTCAGAGATCCGGCTGAGCCTCAGAGATCCAGCTGAGCCGGTGCTGAGGGTGGTTTGGATCACTTCACCCTTATGCCTGTCAAGTAATTGTGTTACACAACTGCCCAGGGCAGGGGAGGGAAGGAAGAGAGCAGAAAAATCAAGGACTGGTGCACACAAGTGTTGCTGGCTGGTCTCTGACTTGCACCCCCTCTTTGGGTTGATGTTTCCTGCACTGAGCTCACTGGGTGGGAGCCTGCCAAGGTGACCTCTGAGAGAGCCCAGAGCCACACTGTGCTGGCCAAACATTTATCCCCACCAGTTTCTGGGCACCCAGTGGGATGTTCTTGCAGTGGATGGCTGACACAGCCCTCAGCAGGGTCCTGTCCTGCAGTTTTCCACTCCATGCAGGCACTGTGCCAACAAAACCCATGAGCCACCCAGCGCTGGGCAAGAGCCCAGCCACCCCCCTGCAAGCTGGGGGTGCTCATCCGAAGCAGGACAGAGGGGGAAAGGGAAGGGACAAACAGCCCAGAGCATGCTTGGAGGAATCAACCACAAAATGCCAAAAGCACAAAGCTCCCAGAGCAGAGCCCCAGGAGAACCCACCTTCACGTAGGAGTCACACGCACGGCACTCGCTGCCCATCAGGCCTTTTGCTTCCATGACTGGAAAGGAAAGGAAATGGTCACATCCCAGAGCAGCAGGGAAGGCATCCTCCCAGTCCACAGCCCTCTGCTCCACAGGGTGCTCCCTCCTCGTGGGGCCAAACCTTCCTCCCACCCAGCAGCCTCCCCAGCTCCCCGCCCTCGCTGGGCACCCCCAGACAGGGAAAGGGGGTTATTGCATTTTTGCTCTAACACAGCCCTGCTATAAATACAGGCACCTGAGGGCGAGGGCAGCAGCAGATGCAGTTCAGCATCAGGATGGCAAATTGCATTCCCTCTGCCTGACTTCCCCCAGCTCTGGGCTCCCACCCCGGGGCCAAACGTGTCATCAAGTTAAACATCAGCAGCCCATCCTGACACAGCCCCAGCCCTGCACAGGGACCCCTCAGCTGCCTGGGGGCAGGAG